CCAAGCAGCTCTGGAAGCCGTGGTAATGACTGCTCGCATCACCATTGACCACAGCTGGTCAGCCACTCAGGTGAAGGGTCGACTGGCGATGCTCTTTCAGGGGCACTTTGTAAAACAGGCAGAACAAAAGTTTTCATTTACATATCTGCAGGTGGGTGTGAGATGTGTTCTGCCTGAGGTGTCTTAAAGCCTGTTCATTTTAGTACACAGAACATTTCTGAATGTGGTGGTTGTTTCCAGTGTGTGCAGAGCTCCAGAGCGCTGTTTGTCCCTGACACCCCTTCAGAGGGCTGGACTGGAGAGCAGGTCCTCAGGATCTCTGAACATGGTGCTTTATATATCCTGAGCCACCACGACTACTCAGAGGTAACTACTGCTGCTTCATTACTAATACCCTGATGTGATCATTATAAAAGTAGGACTTGGATTTGATACATTTTTTTTATATTTCAAAAGCCATAAAGACAACTTTGTGTGTTAAGATTCAGTTTAAAGGTCATTTGGCTTCTGTGAAAAAACTGGACGCCTTGTTCCTGTGAGCTGGGGAACACGGGATCTTTAATTATTTCGTTTATTTCTCCAATCAGCTTTAGCTTTGCTCAATCTCCCTCCTTTTTGTCTGTAGTTTATAAAGTTCTCTTCTTCTTACAGACAGAATCTGAAGGGTCAGCAAGTGAGACACTTGTGGTAAAAAGGCAAGAAAACATTTCCTGTGAATACACATTTAGAAATGATTACTGACAAACTAAATAGCTGCATTATCTGAATTTGTGTGTGTTTTGGGGGGACAGCACAGACAGCTGCCAAGATGGTAAAAGTGAGCTAATAATCCAGCCTCACATCTGCAGGGATACAAAGAAAGTGAGTTTGGAGGATAAAAGATAAAAAAGTCAATCCTAAATTCAGTTTGTTGCATTTATTATTATTATTATTGTTATTATTATTATTATTATTATTATTATTATTATTTTTGTCTCCTGTTAAACTTGCATCTTTTGTGTGCAGTCCACTGTCGACCTGGACACCATCCTGAGAGCGTTCAGACAGGAGAACGTAGATCCAGGACTGAAAACTCACATCCAGGTGAGGCGGACAGATCTACTCCACGGCGCTCTGGAGGTGGTGAGGAGGCCCGACTTCTGCTTCAGGGCGACGCCTGTTATCTCCTTCAGTGGAGAAGAGCCCGATGGCCACGAGGCCCCTGTCGGAGAGTTTTTCAGGTCCTCACCATTTCTCTGAAATTATTGCTGGAGCTGATGGCCTCAGGCATAAAATAAGTCGTATGGTTTTCTATACTGAAGCTAATTTATTCAAACTCT